AACAAGACCAGCAAAGCTGCCCGATGTGCCGACAATCCCGATAGGAGCTGTACATATCTCGTTCTCAGGGCAACACCAGATAGGTCAAGCTACGAGTAAAACCAGCCCTCAAGTTTCCCCAAGGTGGCCCCGCAGGCTGCCCGTTTCAGACCAACACTTAGAGAAGCACTGGCCCGGGGGGGGGGGGTAAAATAAAGATGACCCTCGGGCTCGTGAAAAGCCAAGGGAAAGTTATAGGTTGTTAGGCAAAAGAAAACTGTCAAGGGGTTCCCATAACACCCAACCGCGGAAGGAACGGAAAATCAAGGAACATAACACCGGTATGACGGAAACTAGGGCGGCAAGAGTGGAACAAAACACTAGGCATAAGGCCGAGCCTTCCACCCTTTACCAAGTATATAGATGCATTAATTATAAATAATAGATATTGTGATATCCCAACATATCCATGTTCCAAATACGGAACAAACTTCAACTTCAACTTCACCTGCAACTAGCAACGCTATAAGAGGAGCTGAGCAAAAGCGATAACATAGCCAAACAATGGTTTGCTAGAAAGGTGGGCTAGAGGCTTGACATGGCAATATGGGAGGCATGATATAACAAGTGGTAGGTAGCCCGAAATAGCGATAGAACGAACAACTAGCAAGCAAAGATAGAAGTGATATCGAGGGTATGGTCATCTTGCCTGAAATCCCGCAAGAAAGAAGAACGAGTCCATAAAGAAGACAAACGGACATAGTCGAACGAATCCTCACAACTCTGGAACGGAACCGAACCTAACGAGAGAAGCAACCCAGAAAGAAGCAAACAACATAGTAAACAACCATCACATAAACATGGCATGATGCACAACCAAGTATGATGCGTGTCCAGTTTAAAGAGGCATGGCATGGCAAAGTGCACAAACAATACTACAAATTAAGTGGAGCTCAATATGCAACGAGTTGCATATTGACAAAACACCACATTCGGTTATTAGTTCTCTCCCATTTAATCTACTCAACAAAAAATTAAATATTGGTTAACATGGCAAGAGGTGAAACATAAGTAAATTAACTATTTAGGAAATTTTAAATGATGCTGGAAATAACAAAAATAATTTCGGAAAAATCCCCATATGCATTTAGCAGTTTAAGGCAAACAACAATTTTAAATGTTTTAAATGTTGTTATCATGATGCGGATGACATTTGCAAGTTTTATGCAATATTTATGAAAATGTTGATAAGAGCATGATGAGAGCATTTATCACCGTGGTAGAAAGAAAGGGGTGCCACGGCGACAATAACAAAAATGATGCCACGACAACATTGTTGTTCCGGTAACTCGATTGAAATACCGGTGCAAAAGAAAGTGTGACGGGAGCGTGTCATGAAAGATGGTGGGGTGATCCCGGTAACCGGGTTCCCCATGTGTCGACGACAAGGTAAACGAGGGCACTTAGGACACGATGCAAACAAAAGGGTTTATCTCGTACATCGCAAGCATTCATCCACGGGGTCATCGGCTTGGCGGTTATACCTTCGAAGTGCGCGATTCGGGACGGTTCGGGTTCGAAGGGATGTAGACAGAAGTAGTTGTACAATTCGTCCACGGCGAGGGTAGTGGAAGTAGTGGTACACGACGACGGTAGAGGTACTCGCGATAGTCGTACACGAGTCTTGTGACCCACGGTTCTTCGGGCAATGGTAGTTGTACACGGTTCATAGACGTTCATCGTCATGGTGAGGAACTTGACGAAACCCAAGGCGACGGTAGTTATACATGGTCCACGAGTCGTCGATTGTTCGGGTTCCGATTTGCGGGTCTTGCCGCCATGAAGGGGTACTTGGCGTTTTCGTGTAGCCGAACTTGAGGGGCACTGACATCGTGGTACTTGCCGTCCATGGGTACTTGGCAATAACGAAACGAAACGCAATGGTTGTAGTGGTACATGGCATCAAGGTGCTTCGCGGGTCATCCTGTACTTTGGCGTTCGGTGCGGTGGTCGTTCGTGTGCCGTAGGTCGTGGTACCTGCCGATCTTCGTGAATCCAAGTGTCTCGGTGGCGGCCATGGTACTCCCTGATGGCACCGAGGTGGTCTAGCAGCAGCAGCAAGGGCGTCAGGGAGGTGATGGCCGTGGCGGGACTGCTCGAGGTAGCAGCAGAAGATGGCCGGGTCAGGTGCTCGTCCACGCTAGCCCCAGATCGGGTCAACGAGGGGGAACGAGCGGCACGGCTCGCTGGAAGCAGAGGACGCAGGGGTGCTGGACTCCTCGTTCATGAAACAGGGGGCCGAGCAGCAGGAGGAAGGAAGCAGCGGCGCTGGAGGGTCCTGGCCGGTGGAGGACGACGTGGAGAAGGCGTCGGGGATGGACGTCTCTGGCCGAAGGCAAAGCCATGACGGGGCGACCTAGGATAAGGCAGAGGAGCTGTCGCACGGGTTGAGCGAAGGGGCGCCGAATGGCGTTGGACTCGGCGGCCTGCAGGTCTGGAAGAGATGGAGATCTTGACGCAGGGGAGGGGAGGAGGCGCAGGTGATGTGGACGAACGCAACGCTTACCCCTGGCACTGGTTGCGCAGGCACCAGGCGGAGGAGGAGAAGGGGCGCGCCGGGGGGAGGCTGGGTCGTCGCCGGCGGCGCTGGTGGGGATCGGGCGCGGGGGCTCCTCCCCTGGCTCGAGGTGGAAGAGAGGAAGAGAGGGAGACGAGGGGAGGAAGAGCGATGGTTGCGAGGGAGAGATGGGGATCGGGCTGAAGGAGTCTGGCGGTGCGAGGGAGATCGAAGAGAGGGAGAGGGTTCGAGCGGGATGACTGCGCCTGCGGCTAGGGTTAGGAAGGGCGCCGATGGGGCCTAGGGGCAAATGGGCCGGCCTTCTAGGAGGCCCAAGTGGCCACAGTCGTGGCTGGGCTCTCTCTCTCTTAACTCCAAATAACAGAAAAAACAAAGGAAAGGAGAGGAAAAGGAAGGGGGTTAGGGGTAGAGTTTGACATGAGGTTAATTTTTCTGGACTCACAAAAATGTGCATGTACACAGAAAAATAGAAGTGGCAAAATTGCATGAATTAAATTCAAACTAATTTGAATTTAATTCAAATGGGTTTGAACTAGGACTTGGTAAAAGGAAGGTCCAAAAATGTTGAGATTTTTGATGGAGCTCCGGAATATGGTGAAAGAATATATGGAAAGGTTGGAGACCAAGAGTTAAGATAACAAAGACATTGGGATAATTTGCAAGTGTGTTATGGTGAATTCTAAAAGAATGGAATATTTATTATAGCTCCCTAATATTGGGAGGATATGTTGTAAAGAGAATCGCCATGTGAATTCTCTCGGTTTATATGGACCAAAGATCCATGCTGTTTATTTATTTGAGTTTACAAAATTAAAAGACATGCTGGTATGATGGCATGATGCAATGCAAAAATAAATAGAGCAAGCACAAATGAAACACATGGAGGCAACCAAATTACTGGAAGGCATCTGGAGCACCGGTCTTGGGGCGTCACACGTGTCTACTATGAGTTTCATGTTTGGTGCAAACAAACATAAAGGAGCCATTATCTTTATTTTTTAACTAAAGCTATTATCTACCTGCTATCATTGGTTTTGGGTCTGTCCACACTTTGCTACCATCACTTTGGATTTGTGCATGTAGACGTCGCTCCATGGTAGGCGCAAAGGCAACCCCCTCCACCCATTTCGGATTGTAATCAAGAGGAAGATAACTGTTCTGAGGGGGATTCAGAAGGAGAAGACCACTCCTAGTTACCCCCTTAGGTCTTTGCTCTAACTTGGCAGGCTAATGTTGGTAATATCATGCATATGGTGCCTTGTATTGCTTACTTTATACATCAAATATGTCATCTGCTTAGTTTAGACATGCATTGTGTGAATGCCATCTATTTAGTTTCTTTATTGTATATGTGAATCATGCAATGCCATCTTGTTTAGCCAGGCATCATATATGTGAATTTTGCAATGGCACCATGGTTAGCCAGTCATCTTATATGTGAATTATATCATGCCATCATTTTTTTATTACGTATTAAATTTGTCAGCAATTTTAGTACATTCAATTACTCTTCCTGTGCATCAGCCATTCGGCACGGTCATGGAAAAATCTGGAGTGGAAACAAGGTCTTCAGAGCAGACAGTGCTATCTGACGAAGTGCATGTATTGCTGGTTATGGATAGCTCCTCAGAGGAGGATTCAGAGACAGATGAACAGTCCTATTCTCCCCCCCCCTCGAGGTGCATGCTCTAACTTGGCAGGGTTATGTTGCTCATATCGTGTGTATGGTGTCTTGCATTGCTATGTCATTTGCTTAGTTTAGACATGCTTTGTGTGAATGTCACCTATTTAGTGTCTAATTACCATATATGTGAATTATGCAATGCCATCTTGTTGCAAGACATTATATATGTGAATTATGCAATCCTATCATGCTGCAAGGCATTATATATGTGAATTATGCAATGCCACGTTGTTTAGCCAAGCATCATGTATGTGAATTATATCATGCCGTCCTTTTTTTGTATTTCTCATTGCATTTGTCAACAATGTTTGTATATTCAATTGCTCTTCCTGTGCATCAGCCATTTGAATTGGTGATGGAGAAATCCGAAGTGAAAACAAGGTCTTCAGAGCAGACAATGCTACCTGCTGAAGCAGATATCTTGCTGATTATAGATAGATCTTCATAGGAGGATTTAGAGGCAGATGACCAGTCCTATTATCCCCCTGAGGTGTATGCTCAAACTTGGCAAGGTTATATTACTCATATCATGCATATGTTGTATTGCAATGCTTAGTTTTTACATCATATACACAATATTGAATGCGATCTCCTTAGTTGACACATCATATATGCGATTACCCTCTGCTCACTTGCTTAGTATATAAATTATTTGAATTATATCATGCCATGATATTTACATAGACAACATGAATCTGAATTATGGCATGCTAACCCATTTTCTAAAGAGATAATATAGTTATATCATCTCATCCTGTTTACATAATCATCATATTTTGAATTATGTCATTCTATCCGTGAATTATATCATGCCATCATGTTTCCATCGACGGCATATTTGTGATTTATGGCATGCCAACCACTTTAAAAGACACGTCGTATAGTTATATCATGTCATCCTATTTACATAGTCATCATATTTTGAAGTATGTCATTCTATCCTATTTTGTTAGCCATCATACATGTGAAATTGTGTCATGATATCCTATTTAATTAGCCATCATATATGTGAAATTATGTCCTGCTATTCTGTTTGGTTAGACAACATAAATGTGAATTATTTCATGCCCAGTTTTCTTCCCTACTATCCATTGCACCTATCTATCTTACAATGTCTGTACATTCAATTACTTTTCTTGTTTATCAACCATTTCAATTGGAGGGGGTGATGGCAGTATCTGTGGGAGTAAAAACACGATCTTCAGAAAAGATCATGCTACCCGTCGATGCAGATAGAACCACGGTTGTACTTGCCCAAGAACCGGCCCCACCACACATAACCCAGACTCACGTAGATTGTACCCCTACCCAATTGGACAGAGAACCAACTACACCCCTTCTAACCCCAACCCCAGTAGGTAGTAACCTAGTTCCAGTTGACACAACACCGTCTCCACCATAGAGCACCCAAACACGAGCAATTAGTAGGGCAACTGCAGTGCCCAAAGCACGAGGACCACCACTCCGAACCCCAAGTCAGCGCTTAAAGCAGAAGAAGAATTGTTCTTAGGTCAGGTTCTGTATCTATGGTTCATACTACTTTGCTCTTGCATCACTATATTTACTCATACCAACTAATATCAAATTTGAAGGATGCAATTGAAACTCCAATGGCATAACAGGTATGTTTAATACTTGTTTCTTTAACGTGTTTGCTGTTGTAACTTGCTTTATGTGGATTTCAGTTTCAATTGAATAAACAGTTATGTTCTCATGTCGTGCACATTACAAGTGTTGTTATTGTTGTGTAGTTTCCCACACTTATATTCTGTCTATGCTGCTTTGTCTTAAATAGATATGATGCGAACTGTCTCTATCTTGATTTGGCAACATAAACTAGAATGATATAGACCATATAGTGACCATACTACATAGATATATGTTTGTTTCATGCTGTTATCCTGTCCACCTTACTACTGAACTGGTTTACCAAAATGAGTTTCATATACAACATGGTAAACTGTGATTTGTTTGTTTGTTTCTCTTTTAGAACACGGATAAAATATTGGAGAAGAGTGCCCCGATATGTAATGGTAAAGGAAGTAATATAGATAAGGTTCATGATAGTGAGACATCCCTGTTGGTCTCCAAGAAAGCTGATAAAAACTATATTGAAGTCACTGAGACAACCCCAAAGTCATGTCTTGATGTAGTGTTCGAGTTACTGGCTACTACTGCTGGCACCAGCTCTTCGAACTTGCTGCCTGAATCAGTTCGGCTTCTTGAGTCTCAAATTCAAGTTGAAAGACATCAATCAGATGTTACGCGACAGGAAGCCGAAGGACTGAGGAAGTCCCTGCAGAATTCAGATGCATACTTTCTGGTGTAACAACAAGTGCTGGAGGATTTAAGTGGCAAACAAGAGAAAGTTAATTAGCTTGCTAAGCATCTTTCCAGTATTATGGGTACCCGGGATATTGTTTCTTGAGCTCTTCTGAAGTTGTTTCAGTTCTGGACTTGTTTTGCTGCATTGCTTATTCACACTGGTCGCCAACTTTGACAACCGGTTTATATGATATGCAGCTTTGTTCCCTATATTTCCACTGGTGGCGAACTTTGATGCCTAGTGGATGTAATATGTGTAAAAGCCGTGATAGCCTAGCGTAAGTTGCTTGCTTATTTATTTCCTTGTTGTCTTGTTTATTTGTTTGCTTGTAGACAATGTAGTTATTTTTCCGTGGTTTGCTAGTGGCCGCAATAATATTTTTTTTAAAGTAGGCCACAATAACCATGGGCTACAGATTTACTGTAGTTACCATGGGCCTCCTCTCCTACGGGCCATAGAAACAATGGGCCTTCTAAGGGCCGTAGAAACAATGGGCTTTCTATAGGCCGTAGCATCAATGGGCCTTCTACGGGTCGTATGATCGATCGGCCAAACATGAGCCAATAACATACCGCATTATGGGCCGTAAACGGGCTAGATTTGGAATCGTCCGTTCATGGGTCAACCATAATGGGTCGTCGTTAATTGGTCGTATTTGATGATGTTATGAAAACAGCCCAACGGATTAATGGGCTGCAAACGGGCCGATTGTAACCACGGGCTGAATTTGGCCCACAAGCAGAAAAGGCCAGTAACATGCCATAAGTAACCGAATGCTGGAAATGAGCCCAAGAATAAATGGGCCCTGAGAAGGACGAAAGATAACACGGGTTGGAAACGGCCCAATGGGATAATGGGTCGTTAACGGGTATAAAGAGATACACTGTTCATTGCAGGGCTAGATTCACCACGGGTCGTTAATGTGCCAAGAGTTAAAAATGGCCTGGTATGGGCCGAAGGACATCATGGGCCATACATGGGCCGAAATTTACAACGGGCTGGAATCATATTGGACGACCTAGATGAAGCTACTAGGCTTAATTCCAATAGGCCATAACGGGCCGTGAGTTAGCGGGTCGTAAATGGGCCATATATGAACAAGCCGTTAACATGCTTTCCGTGGGCCAGCCCGTTACCTTTTGACGAAGTCAAACGGGCTGGCTTTTTCACTAGAATGGGCCTCTGTTGGGTCGTGCCATGTGTCAATGTATCATAGGCGCCTCCTGTCC